TTCTGACCTCCCGCTCTAAAAGTACTAGTTCTTAGCTGGTATGCTGTTCCAGTAGCTTAAGTAAAGCCAGGTATACACATGTCTATTTTTTTCATTCAATCCACAGGCTGAATGAAAAAAAAAAAAGAACAGATTCCTCAACGCTTACTAGCATTGATGGACGAATCTCTCGCCTTTTGCATTGTATTCCGACAGCGGCCTCTGGCCAGCAGATAATTTTCCAACCAACTCTTTCGGTCAGCTGATCGAGAGAAGCCTGGCTTAAGGATGCAGATGGCGGCACCCACGGTATGAAACTCAGCTTTAGGTCTCCATCACTCACCTGGTACAAGTATGCCAGTCAGCTAACATTATTAGAGGGAGGTCCATAATAGACCACTTTGATCATAATGCTGTGCTAAAAATTAGGCTTCAATCCTGTAGGAAGGATCAGCCATGACCACTTCTTTATTTTAATCTTCATGTGAGTGAATTGTTCTGCTGGTTGCAGTGATAGGTTAATTGGCTTCTGGCCTATTCAACCTCTGAAAAGGTGTTTCAGTTCCCCAAAGCTAGAATGTAACTTGTGTATTAAACAATGGCAAGTCCCATCATAGGCCTCTGAGACTAGGATTTACCTTGATGACCTTCAAAAAAGGAAATTTACATAGTACTAGCACATTACTAAAATGCATCTATACTGACCACATGATGAAACCCCAATGAAGCTTCAGAAGAACAGCAACTATTTCTGAAAAAAACCCCCACTTCTTTATGGCTTAATTTATACTTTCTACTTTCGTACTTCAACATTCATTTGCAGCTCCCCTGCAATCCAAGCAAACTGGCTAGCTTTGGCCTCCTGGTAGAACATCATCATTACTGCTTTGGGTGTATCAAAACAAAAGCAGTTCATTTTCTTTAGAAAGCAGCCACAGTCTGAATAGGACCCTTGTTCTCTGCGTGGAAGCAGTGGTCTCTCTTCAAAGGTCCAAAACATGGGCACAGGTGCATGTTCATTTTCTCCCATGTGACATTGTTGCAAACACTACAACACAGCAGAAAGACGCCAAATTGTAAGTCTGCAGCGGAAATTAGCACTCTTGGGTGTCACCCTTGCTACAGTTAAGGGATAGGTGTCACATGGGGGCAGAAATAACAGGCCTAAAAATAGATGGAGAACTGACGTGCAGTAGACGTGGCTAAGTTCACATGAATAGAAGGAACTGGAATAAAGCGAGGAAAACTTCAGTTTTCAATAAAAGAACTATCCTTTAAATGCACATGAAAAAGTACAACAGGAGCACTTGGAGAAGGGATGAGTCAGAGAGTGGCTTGTCTTGCTGTACCTGTGTGTTTGTGGAGACACACACAGCTTACTAGCACACACAAGGATGGCTCCATAGGAACCTGCAAGGGAAAGGAGCCACCCTAAAACAGGATGTCAGTGCCAGTGCTCAGAGGAACCATACATTTTGAACATCAAGGAGCAGCATCCATTTCAAGTGATTATCAGCATTTGAAAATCCTAAAAACTATTTAGCTCTGCAATAATCAGGTGTTTGTTTGCAAAGTACAGATTACCTGGTGAACATGTAAAAAAAGGAGCTATCAGCCTTATCTGCTAGCTAAAAATGACAATACAAAATATTCTATGTAATGCATTATTCCATATTTACCTGACTAAAGAAAAAACCCTGATCATTATAAATAAACAATTTAAAAACCAATAAACTTTGTTTTAAGGGGTAGCACCACTAACAAACAACTGTCCTGGCTGTTTTTATCCTTACCCAGAAAACCAAAGCACTATGTATACATGTACCATCTACTTTTCTAATTTTACAAAATAAGGAACACCATAATACCACAATTCAGGATACTTCCGTAATACAAAATGAACACAGTGGTGACTGTGAAATTGTACTGCATTTTTTTTCTACAATCAATCTGCTCGATCTTCAGAAAAAGTGTAGCCTTACTAGGAGTATTTACAGGACTACAGACGATACCCTAAGTAGCTCTTTTCTAATTTGTTCTTAACTTTTTCATGTAAGCGTCCTGACTAAATGCAGATACCACAAATGCCTTTTTAAACTTTAAAGGAGAACTATGGGGTTAAGGCTTTTCCCCATAGTTCTCCTTAGGGTAACAGGAGGACACAAACTAGCATCCTCCCGTCACCCTAGGCTCAGCATACTCCGAGCTGTAGCTCGCGGTATACTGAGGCGCCGCAGTATACCGCGAGCTGCTGCACGCGGTATACTGAGACGCCGCAGCTGAAGCGGATCCCGAAAATTGTGCCGGGATCCGCCCAGCAGCGTGACTGACAGCTGGCTCTGCCTATCTAGAGGCAGAGCCAGCTGTACCCGCCCCCTCCCTCCCTCCAGTCAGCGCTGGCGGATCGGAGCGGGGAGGGGGGAAGAGAGCCGTGACAGGATCGAGAGGTGAGCCAACGCCGATATGTGTTCGCTCACCTCCCCATCTACTGAGCCGACCTGTGACAGTCTCATTGTCACAGGTCGGCTAGAACTATGAGGTGAGTGAAAGGTACTCACCTCATAGTTCTCCTTTAATAGTCAGAATACTTTTCTTTACGCGCCGCTCTACAATTAGTTTCATTTTGTGATTTAGGCCTGACTAATTTCTGGGATAAACTTTGCCATTGTAATCTCTAATTACAGTGTCCCAGTAGGCAAAAAGGGCACTCCATTGGCCCGGAGATTGCATCACTTCCGGTCCCTGGGCTGTCAGTTCTGGGCTCCTGCAGCCCAGCTATAAGCTATTGAAGTGCGATCTGCACTTCAATAGCTTATTTCCAGTGTAAAGGTGACACTGGGGGTCTTTTGGACCCCCAGCATCATCTTAAAGAGTACCTGTCACCACCATCTGCTATCACATGGGGGGGCTTGTAAGCCCCCCTATGTGATAGCAGTCAAAGTAAAGTAAAGCCTTTAACTCTAGCAGAGCAGTGGGGCCCCTGGGTATTTTTTTTCTGGTGCCAAGAGTGCAAATTTAACCCTATAGCCTAACCATAAACTTAATCCCTAACCGTTGTCTAACTGTAATTTAACCCCTAAAATAGGTCCTACCACTTATTTAACCCCTTAGAATTTATTAAATTAAAAAGAGTCTATAAAAGTGAGGGGCACTTAAATAGCATCTCAAATTTTAAAAGCACATTTAAAGGCAAAGAAAGAGCTGATCATCCAAATAGGTGTGTATACCCCAGTGGAAGTAGAGCGCCAGACTGCACATACAAACATTGAAGCTGTATACTGCTGCCCACCGCTATTGGCATATATCTGCACATCCAGCGTTTATCTGTGGCTAGGGCAGATATCTGACCCTGAATTTATCAAAACTGGCGTAGACAAAATCTTGAGCTGATGTGCATGGCAACCAATCAGCTTCTATCTTCAGTTTGTTCAGTTAAGATTTTGAAATTGTAAGAGAGAAGCTGATTGGTTGCCATGCACAGCTGCTCCAGATTTTGTCTTCTCCAGTTTTGATAAATTCCCTTAATTGTGTCCAGGGCCGGTCATCTGTCCCTAGCCACAGGTAACCGCTGAATGTGCTTATACTTGCAAATAGCGTTGTACAGAGGACAGCCACAGATTACTGCAGCAAGGATCAAATTACCCCATGTGAATGAAGCCTAACTGCATTGGTTCTATTGTGGGGTGAGTTTACCTAATTACAGTAAATGCATCATAATTAAAACAAATAAATATAACATATTTTGGGTATGTGCTTTTTACATTTTGTAAATCTGATAATGGTTAAGCCCTCCCATTGTGTGCTTGCCTAGCAAATGTAAACTGAGTGGCTGTGATTTTACCTTTCTTTTTTTTAACTCAAAGACATTAAAGGTCTTGAAGAGCAATTCCAAACACCAAGTGAAAGCAATCAGTGAGCTATTAAAGCAATCCAGTAAACACTGCACTAAATCTGAGCTAAATCCAGAAAATCCATTTAATCCTAGTATTGTGAAAGCTCCTGCAGAAGAAGCACACACGGCTCTATAGAGGGTCATAAGGAGGGCAGTAGGAATGCACTTCCTGCCTGTGCTGTGTAACGTCCGATCTTTTGCACTCCAGTAAAATCTAAAAATGAAACCTTGATATGCATAAAGGATGCTGCATAGTTCAGTTTGTGATCCAAAAATTGCCCTTCTCTGGGCAAGCCAGATACATAAATTGCCCAACTCTGGACAAACCAAAAAACAAATGTTGCAGTCGGGCTACCCCTGCAATGCAAGGGTTAAGTGCTCCTTTATGCCTAGAGCACAGGAAAAACCTATTCTATTTACCGGATCCGGGCTCCTGCTGGCTCCCTCCAGGCTGCTAGTCTGCTCCCTGTAGCCTCTTCTCCCCTCCGCTCCAGTGGTCTATCATCACATCTAATGCATAGAACTGCAGGTGAGGTCTATGAGTGGCATTCCACCAGCCAGAGCAGAGAGGGGAAGAATAAGTGCTGACCATTGGGGGAGCAGGAATCAGGTAAGTAGAACTGCTTTACTCCTAGGCATAAGCAAGTTTTTAACCCAATGTAGCATGTGAACACAATTTTATTTTTGTATGTCTTGGCCTGATATGTCCAGCCTGTACCACTTGTAATCCTACACACATCAACATTCACAGTGGTAGAATAAGGCATCACACTCTGTTCCAATCAGGGTTCTATACTGCATTTATACAGTATTTATAGATTTTTCGAAAGTGCATTTCGTTTTTTGCCTGAAGTTTAGTTCTGTTTCTTTATATCTTGACATTGACTTGATAATAAACCGAAATAAACTTCTTGGTCAGACTTTTACACATGTACTGAAGCTAATATGTATCACAATATATATATACAGCATACAATATTATCTCTTTGACTGTATAAATCAGTACTTTTCTCTGAATACTGATACATTATATTGTGAAGTTATTGTTAGTAGTTTATATATTGTCAATTATTTTGCTGATATTTTGAAACTAAATTGTTTGATGTGCTGATAAGATGTTTGTGATTACCTGTAGACTTGAAGGTCTCCGGGTTACACTGGCAGTAATGAGTTGAGAATGTCTCCATTATTCGATCAATTTTCTGAGCCTCTCCGGGCAGCCGAAAACTACCCAGGAACCTTCTATGAATAATAAAAAGGAGGACAATTAGTGGAAATTTTTGATTACATTGCTCTAACAGTTTATTGCTTTAGATAAGCAGTAAAAATAACTGGCAGTTAAGGTACCAGTAGACATTAAAGAAACATCTGCTATGTTCTAAAGTATTATTCTTTGAACATGTGTTCTGTTTATTTTGGCCATCTGACTGCACCACTTTTCAGATATGTATCATCCAATGTTGTTAGAGCTTTTTAAATTATCCTACCTGTTCTTACACTCACAAATTTTTTTGTCTGTGATTGACCTTTTTTAAGTTTATGGGGTCTATTCATGAAGCAGCCGAAGGATCTAGCCGTAGCTTCGGCCGATCCTTTGGCTAGCTTCGGCCCCAGGACCCCTTCGGTTCAGTAGAATCGAAGGGCTGCTGTACGAGCTATTCACTATAGCACTTACAGCTCCCGAAGTTGGCCGAGCGCGCTGAGCCGCGCTGTTCCCACAGAGAAACCAAGCAGAACAGCCGAGTCGAATGCCGCTCAGCGGCATTCGGCTATTCACTCACTGCTGTTCGGCATCTATAAGAATAGACCGAACAGCAGCGAGTAGCCTGTCGGAGGTTTGGCTTAGCCGATCCAAATGTTGGATCGGCTGAGTCGAACTCCTTCTGCACTTCGGGTCGGCCGAACATGCTGAGCATTTTCAGCCGACCCAAAGCCACGCAAAGCCACCCGATGTACGGCTGATTTCAGCCGATATACGGCTGAAATCAGCCGTACCAGCCTGAAGTGAATAGCTGAACAGCGTTCGGCTCACTTCACTTTAGGTCGGTCACATATAAACACCTATATGTTTTAAACTGATGTTTTACAAACAAACATTTAAAGTGTATTGAAATGTAAAACTTTTTTATTTAAATAGGGTGGGAAAGGGTTAGAGATTCTGCCAAGTTTTATAATGGTCTGTAGACATGTGCATCAGCAAAAAATTAGTTTAGTTTTGTTTTGTTTTGATTCGGATTTTGCTTTATTTTGTTTTTCGGAATTCGGGTCCGAAAGTCAATTAGTTTCGGAATTCGGATGAAATTCGTTAGCGGAAATCAGTACGAAATTTTGTTTCGTTTTCATTTCGTCCGTTCATGCAGCAAAGTGACATTTAAGAGGGGAAACAAAGTTAATTTGTTCTCAAATGTCACTTTGCTGCAACAAAATTTCGTTTCGTCCAAAAAAACTAATTGCAAATTCGAAATCGTAAATTCGGATTCGTTTGCATTCTTATACTTGTAATTCGGGATGGTTCCAATGGAATTATTTTTTGTCTTCTGCTGAGTTTTAATCTTACCCTTGAAGGTCTATTTGGTCTTCATTTACTTGGCGCATGGATGTTACCGTAGTTTGAAAGACTGTAGTATGGTGAATTCTGAGGTTGCCTCCCGGGGAGTTTCTATTCCCCCCCTTTTTTTCCCCTTCCCTTCCTTTTGCACTTCTTCTATCTACTTTTCCTATTTGATGCCCTGTGTTCTACTTTATATCTAGTTTCCTTTCTTACTTCCATTTGCCTGTACTCTGTGACTTGATACTTATGCATCTGAGACTATATGTTGGCACCCTCTTTTGTTTAGAACTGTTGGATTATGTAGATGTAATTTTATATTGTGTTGCCATATTTATCTTGATATTACTACCTTTTGACTGTGGATGCCTGGCTATTTTTACTGTGATATACGTCTGATGTGTCCTGAGCTCATATGCTGTGATACATGGTATTGTCCACATTCTTCTGTACAATGCTTCCTGCCTTTTCCTCTTTGTTGAATTGTTATTTATTAAGATTGAATGCACATTTATTCTACTAAAATGGGAAATCCCATCACTTTGGATAGATTTACTCTCAATTTTAGTAGCATCTCCAAGACAGGATGTGAAGGTAGGTCACCCCAGCAGAACACAGACAAACATAAAGTGTGGAAACCATAGTGGTTTCCACACTTTCCTTTTCTATACTAACCTAAAAAAATAAGGACATAAAAATGAAATTTGCTACACATTCTTTTTTAATACACAGCACATTTAAGATGCTGGATGTACATTATGGGTTTTCTGAAGGGAAAGCACCGCAGGTGTTTTTTTCTCTCTGATTGAAACTTGTATGGTAGCCATCTGAAGGGGGTAGAGTAGTCAATATTGTGACTGATTTCATACTTTATCATGTTAAGGGCATCTATACACAGTGGATTGGTCATCTGTAAACAACTTCAACTATATCAACACCATAACCGCAGCATCATTACGCCCGCTGGGCGAATTTGTTGCTCTAAAGGGAAACCTGCGTTTTGCGAATGTAAGAAAAGCATCATGTTCATCCTAATACAGCCCTCTTTAATAGCACATACTCACCTTACTTTTGCTCTCCCACTGCTCTGTTCTGCCGTAGCTTACATAGGGCTTTGGACTACCCATGTGACATGGCTGACTAGCCTGGTATTGTTACATGGAATGAGACACAGGCCCTTCCATACCTGTAAGTATTATTATTTCCTTCTGCTCCCACCTGCAAATTTCCCACAAATAAACACCAGACACAATCAGAAGGCTTAGCCTTTGAATATTTTGAATACATTAGATTATGTCCAATTTTCTCCTACAATGTTTGAAAGAACCTTCCTGACTAAAATTCTCCTGTCTGCAACTTGTTCATTTGTGTAGGAAAGTCACAATAAAACCTATTAAACAGCTAGGCACAATGGCAATAGAAATTACATTTGGTTATCAATGTACTTGTCATAGTTTAGGTCCAGGCATTACCCAAATATAACTGTAAACCTCCACCAACGCAGCATGTACCATGACAATGTTGGTTGAGATTTAAGTGCAGAGTTGTCACCCTCAGAGGCTGAGGTGTTTGTAGTCAAGCAGAGAACTGGGCAAGGCACAAAAGGAGTTAAGATTTCTAGTAGGTCCGCATGTATATTTCTGCAGCATTTTTAAAAGAATAAAACATGGGGAAATGTGCATGCATTGGAGAGATGTACTCAAGATGTTTTTTTTTTACCCAGACATGCACTTTAACAACTGTGCTTCTTCATCATCCGCTATCTTTATAAGTATCTAACCTGCTAAATGCAGTCTTTGATTTCTCTCCGTGAATAATTCAAATCTTGAACTAAGGAAACCCAGATTATATTTTAGCAGGCAGTAAGAAACTTTATAATGATACCTACAATATATTTCTCACCTCAGAGCCTCCACTAGTCCGAGTTTGTTAAGGTCATGGCATCTCACAAATGCCTGTAAAACCTGAATATTTAGAGATTCCCTGGAGGGACAGAACAAAAGAGAGAATTGTGAGGAAGGAAATGGGATGAAAGGGGGGGGGGGGGGGAAAGAGGCAGAGAGCTGGATAAGAGAGGAAAAAAAACAGTAAGAGGAAAATACACAATGGCACATCTAAAAAACTGTTTTCACAAGACAGACACTCTGTCATATATCTTTAAAAGTAATTCCAGGAAGTTACTTTGTATTAATATATCACTACAGCAGTATAAAAATACAATACAATAGTGTGAACTATGTCAGATGCCCATCAGGCCAGTAAAATAACTCATCAAAGAAAGCAATTTACACAGGGCTTTTCTACAGTAATTTCTGTGGTCAGTCAGTAAGTCAGAGTAAACTTGCCGTTAGAGATAAAGATAAAAAAATATTGCACCTACATAAGCTTATGGGCAGTTCAGTGGTTTAGGAGTTAGTACTTTATACTTTAACCTTAGCATTGGTTTTCACCCAGAAACCTGACTTATTTTTACAGAAGCGTGATGCTCTGCTTTTTTAATGATGCTATTTTTTTTTTTAGAACACAGCAGAAGTAATGGGGTAAGAGCTATATTGAGAAGATCTAATGAAATAAGTATGTGACAGACATCGGAAGGAAAAGGACAAATCCTTAGCATCCACCACCTATACCTATTTCAGTTTTTGATGGACATGTTCCAACAAGCAGACTGGGGTGTAGGGGGTCAAGCAAGCATGCTGCTTTATATTGTTTTCCCCAAGCAGAAGAGTTTTAAAGTGTTAGAAGTACCAGATGGTTTACTCCATTTTTTTTGTGCATGAGTGTTTATGTATCCATTTAATGAGCTAGGGTAAGATGTTCTACCAGCTATGACTAAAGCCAGGTGTGGTCAAAATGCAATAAGTGTTGGCTGGTTTTATGCTCAATGTGGATCCATTAAAGCCCAGCTCTGGGGTTCAGATACTCTTTCTGTGTCTATCTTTTGCTTTTCATTTTTATACTTATCTTTTTCAGATCTCTTAAGACCTTTCACATTACCCAGTGTTCTCAGAGAGCAAGACTGATGTGATTACATCAGCACTACTGTCTGTATAACTACACTGTGTCCAGGAGCCATGGTGACACCTCCTCAGGGGACGAGTTAATGATGGCCTGCACTCACAGTATGTCCTCAGCTGTCATTTAACCCAGAAGACTGAGGACATCTAGGATGTAAAAATAAATTATTTTGGGGGACATTGCTGTAGAGGAGGTGAGTATTGCAGCCAGAGCTGTTTTTTTTTTACTTACTTCTGGAGAACTAGTTTAAAAATAACAATCTTGTGTTTACTTAAAGCAAAACTCCACAACTTTTTGTGTTTTTTTTTATTGGGCTCTGTACAAAGGAGTTACAGCTATTGACGGTAATCCCATGTCTTGCTTGCTGCTGTCTGTTTTATAAATGATAGTTTCATCAATGCTGGATACATGTGTTAGTGGTTTTACTCTAATGCTTCAACATGCTTCCAGCTCTTTTACAATGGGGGGATTGTGTCATGTAGCTGCCCCCTCCTCTCCTCTTGTCCATTCATAAGTCTTGCATTCTGTATACATGGGCAATGGGGGATCCTGTCATTTACCTGCCACTCCTCTATTCTTGTGTATTCCCAGAACATGAACAGAATACAAGGCTTTTTGTGAATGAACAAGGGGAGAGATGGGAGTGGCTACACAATATGATCCATGCACCGCACAAGATCCAGACTTCTCAGTGGCAGTGCAGGAAGTAGAGCATCCTAGTAGTAGAACAAGCAGGGCCTAGGATTAACATCATTAGAGGTAACACCTTTGTACAGAGCAGAATTTAAAAAAAAATCCTGGAATTCCACTTAAAGCTAAGGGGGCATTACATACTACTACTGCTGCTTCTAATAAAATAATAAAAATAAATAATAATACAATAAAAAAAGGTTGTCTGGTAGGGTAAAAATGAATCCACTAGTAAATTATTCTCAGATTTGATCTTGTCCTACACTGATGAAACTGACAAAATATGAGCGTTATATTAAGTGAGAAAGCAATGTTCACAGTACAGTAACCCAGTGATTTTTCTAACAGTTAAAGGAGAACTATGGGGTAAGTGTTTTTCCCCATAGTTCTCCTCAGGGTCACGGGAGGACATAAACTAGCATCCTCCCGTGACCCAAAGCTCAGTATACCATGAGCTACAGCTCGCGGTATACTGAGACCGCCGCAGTCGGTTGGATTACTGTCGAGATCCACCCAGCTGCATGATTGACAGCTGACTCTGCCTATCTAGAGGCAGGGCCAGCTGTACCCGCCCCCTCCCCCATCTGCTCCTCCAGTCAGCTGTGGAGGATCAGAGCAGGGAGGGGGGGAATCCCTGCAGGGAGCCGTGACTGACAGTCACGGCTTTCTGCAGGGAGATGATCGAGAAGTGAGCGAGCGACGATATGAGTTCGCTAACTTCCCGATCTATTGAGCCGACGTGTGACAGTTTCATTGTCGCAGGTCAGCTCGAACTATGAGGTTGAGTGAAAATCACTCACCTCATAGTTCTCCTTTAACAGTTAACTGAATGCTGCTTGGCTCCTATGAGTCTTCTATCCAAGCAAGTGCATGTCAATCTTGAAAGCGGGAAGTGGCGTATAAATAAGTCCATCATCTACAGGGAAATCTAAAAGTTTGGTTCTCTGAAGTTAAACGGCACAATAAGGGTATGTAAAGTCCAATGCTTATACTGAACCAATTTTCAGTATATGTAAACCATATTATTTTGTGTTAGTTAGTTTCTCACCTTTGACCAAGGTACTCCCCAATGGCAGCCTTACTAAGTCCGGCACCATTGTATAGGAAGCCAGCAATCTGTTCTGCATTTTGTTCCAGGAACTTTCTGTTGATTAGCAACTGAATTCCCTGAAATATCAAGTGATCACACAAATAAATACCAATTACCATACTATAAAACTGTAATACTTTACACTTTTTATATACTATATGGTACAAATAACATCAAAAGCTGCTTAAAAGAGAACTCCAGAAGAAAACACAAAATTCAGTAGTGAATATGTAAAATGATTAGCTATTTAAAGTGTATGTATAGTCAAAACTTTTTTATTGGATAGAATCAGGGTGGGTGCACAACCTAAACATTAAAACAAGTTTTGGCTATCTGTCAAATTTTATATTGACTGGTTTTATTGGAAGTAATAGAGAAATGTTTCACAAAGTTTAGGCCTGTATAAAGAAATGAAGGGGTCTATTCACGAAGCAGCCGAAGGATCTAGCCGTAGTTTTGGCCGATCCTTCGGCTAGCTGTACAGGCTATACACTATAGCCCGTACAGCTCCCGAACCTAGCCGAGCGGCTCAGTTGAGCCGAACGCATATGCCTCGGCTCGGCTGAGCCGTGCTGAAGGCCGAAGCTGGCTTTCTTCTGACAGCTGGGCGGAGCCAGCCGTGATCTTACGGCTGGCTCCGGCCACTTGCAGGGAGATCAATGTCCCTGGTTACCAGCTAACCAGGGACAACGATCTCCAGACAGCAAACTCTCCCTGGCGCTCCGGGAGTCTCCCGCTCCCGGCCACGCAGGAGAGAAACACTGCTTTTTCTTTTTTTATATAATAATAATAATAATTTCTGGCCATAGGAATGCATTGCTAGATATTTCAATTTGCAATAGCCAATAGCAAACTAGCATTGCACCCGCCCGCTGCTGCAGTTTTCCATCAGGTCCACTACTGATTGACAGCAGCAGAGGGCGGGAACAATGCTAGTTTGCTATTGGCTATTGCAAATTGAAATAGCCAATAGGAATCTAGCAATGCATTCCTATGGCCAAACATTTTTTTTTTCTATTCTGACACGGCTCCGTGTCAGAATAAGAAAAATAAATAAAAAGCAGTGTTTCTCTCCTTGGCGGCCGGGAGCAGGAGACTCCCAGAGCACCAGGGAGAGTTAGTCTTTTTTAAAAATTTTTATTTTTTTTGATGGCAGCAGAACCGCCGGACAATAGAAAACTGTTGGGCGGAGCTAGCTGTCATTGCTAGCTCTGCACAATCATTTTCTATTTTTATTTTTCTACTTTTCTAACTGTTTTTCTGTTCTGCTCGGTCCCACAGCGGCATTCGGCTATTCACTCACTGCTCGGCGGCATTCGGCTATTCACTCACTGCTGTTCGTCATCTATCAAAATAGACCGAACAGCAGCAAGTAGCCTGCCGGAGGTTCGGCTCAGCTGTTGGATCGGCTGAGTCGAACTCCTTCTGCACTTCGGGTCGACCGAACATGCTGAGCATGTTCGGCCGACCCGAAGCCACGCTTCAGTTGCAATGTATGTACAGCTTCAATTTCAAGCTGTAAAAAAATGTGTTTAGCTAAACCAGGGCTAAATGACACCCAGCTGCTCCAATGAGCACTTAGCATACATACACATACATACATACATACATACATACATACATACAAACTAGGGATACACAGATACTTTTTGAGTACCCGTGCAGATACTTGGCCTTTTCATGAGAACTACCAGGGTTGCAGAGGTTGCAGCTGTGACCTGGCTCTGGCACTCCCCCACTGTCCTGAAATCATTAGTCTGTATTGTTTTAGAAAAACTGTCACATGACAATAAACAAAAATGTATCAGTACTCGTACTTGTAATTACCCGGTGTACAGGACACCGCGGCTGGGTCCTGGAAGGACGCTATATTTCCCCTCTGTGTGGACTGTGGTCCCTTTAAAGGATGAGACGGGGTTAACTCACCTGCTGGCTGAAGAGTGGGTTTAAAAGACAGGAAGTGGTAGCTAGCAGGTGAGGAGTAGTGTGGAGGAGTTTGGGGATCTGTGTACTGCTGTGAGCTTGAATGTCAGTAATCTTGCTGGAAATCTGTAGACTGGGAAAGTTACCCTGGAAGTCTGGGACTGTTTAAACTGCGATTGCAGCTCTGAAATCTTCATGTCGGTGAGACTGTTCTTTTGTGTTGTACTGAAGAGTTGCTGTTTGAGTTGGCCAGCTGGTCAGTGAAGATGACCTGAGTTGTTATGTTGCTGCTGTGAAGCTATTTCAGTTAATAAACTTTACTTTATTTGCAAAGCCTGTGTCCTGCGATCCTGCTGGATTCCCCTAACATTACACCGGCAAGTACCAGTACTCGTACTCGCAAAACTGGTATCTGTGCATCCCTTTATTTATATTTATAAAAACAAAATCGTACATTAAAACAGTGATGTACTAATCCCAGGAGCTCCGTGTGCTCCAAATGACAGCTGCCTCCTAATTTTTGAATTTTTCTCTAGTCTAATCTAAAGCTCTCTAGAGCTCAAAAGTATCTGTACATGTACTCGTACTTGTACTGTACTTGGTATCTGTGCAACCCTAATACAAACAAATATTCTTAGTCATACAGCCTCTGTCACCGTGCCCCCCTTAGTAGTGTTGGTCAATTTTCTTGATATAGCTGGTCTCAAACATATAATATAGCACCTCAGCTGGAAGTTTCTTAAAACATATTTGACTGCCATTTGTAAAGCCCTCTCACAATTCTTCATAGTCCACATGTCTCATGGTCGACAGTTCAGATCAAAGTATTAAGGCCCCCTTTACACTGTACCATTGCATTGCGATACGCTACTATAAGGTAAGGTATGTTTTGATAAGGCAGCCATTTCATTAAGAATGAGACAGACCTGCTCTTTTTTTTTAATGAAGCGTATCACAAGGCAAGACACGTATGGTGCACTGCATTGTAAGTCCAATGGCACCTACTGTGCTTGTGCATTGGATTGTCATTGCAAGTGAATGGCACCACAATCCATTGCATAAAGTCCCTTGTGTTACAGTTGTGGCACAATGCACATTACTGCAACATATACTCTGAAGAGGAGCCTAAAAGCTATAACTACACTTTCAAATAACTTAATCCTAATACCCCCCTCCCCATGCTAACTATACCCCATTTGCACTTTCCTTAGACCAGTGGACAATGCAGTCCAGGAGCTTGCACCATATTTGGTGACATGCAGTTGAAGAAGAATCTGCAGGCTGACAAGTAGACACCTTTGGCATGCAGACCTATGAAGAACTTGGTTCCCCTAGTATACTGTACCCTGACATCTCCATGTCATCCAGCACCCCTACCAGTGAACCCCTGTTCCCCCCTAACGCTGAACATCCCTTCCTCCCATACCTCTGAGCTGGCTGGCTGTTATACCAGACCTTCCAGCTCTCTCCCCTCTGCTCCAGCAGTCTAAGGATCCTTGAGTCATCACGTCCAATACACTGTGTATAGGACATAGGGATGCCAAGGGATATACCATCGATGGAGCATACATTTTTTATTTTAGTACCTAGATGGAAATGAGCACTTAACCCTTGCAGTGCAGGGGTAGCCCCACTGCAAGGATTAAGAAAGGTTTTTCTCAGAGATGTTCTTTAGGTACTAGAACCCAGTCGACAAAATATTTTTCCTTCTCCAAGGGCCACCCAATTAGTACCAAAGTGCAAATTGGGCATCAGGGCAATATCGGAATATTCAGTGTGTTATAGGCACTGAATATTCTCCTAAGTGCTCCTCCTCAGAACATGCCATGTGTGCCTATTGACACTGCTTAGCAGAGTTAGTGTAACATTCATTGCACAAAATATATGAATGCTGAGGAAAATAAGATCTCTTGGGGCTATGATTTTTCCCAAACGAACAATCAGATATCCTTGTTTTGAGTAGCTTGAAATGGATACTCATCCATCTTTCTAAGAGTAAATTATATATAGCAGAAGACTTTTCCTTATGCTTGCCTAATCTAAAAAACTTTAGCATTGACAATTACTACACCACTATCCCTTCACTGAAAAGTACACATTGCCCTAGGCTACAATCATCAGAAAAAAAAGCAGAAGCTTTTACCACAATCAGTGCTACAAAAAATGTGGAACAATGTGCTACTTTGTGTTTTAATTTAAACAGAAAGAAAGTAATCATGGCTTGCAATTACATCTGGATACAGGATAACGATAACAAGAGTTGACGTGGTTTGCCTAAATAATGGCCAATTTTGGGGAGTGGGTGCGATGCGTCACATGGAGATTACATGTTTTAAATTCAGCTTTTCAAAAATGCACAGATATACATGAGGTTTGTGGTCTAAACTGAGCAAATGGTGAAACTGCAACTGGCAATGAGAAATTTTGAGACCTAGTATAGAAATTGTACAGATGCACATATGGAATTTATAATAACAGATTCTTGGGGTGTGGAGTGTTCATTGTCTGGGTTCATCATGTTCAGACACAAAAGCTCAGGTAATAGGTTCTTTACAACACTGCAACTCTCTCTATTTCATTTATATCATTATTTATTAACAGTTATAAAAACATGTCCTATAGTATCCATAATACAATGTGCCATCAAAATGTTTTACTTTTATTATAAAAGAGATATGACAAAATGGAGTGCATTGCTCACCGTTATGATTTTGCCCACATGTGTGGCTTGTTCTGTTATAGTGTAGCCACCCCGCCCTTAGCTATAGGGCAGGTGTGAAGCTGTAGTTAGTCTGATTCTGACTATTCGGTCCTCTTGAGTCCCTCCTAAGCTTTGATGAGTGTTTGCTTCTGCCTGCTGCTGAGTGACCCTGTTAATAGTGTGGAAGGCTGCACTAATTAGAGTTAAGAATGTTTATAATTTCCTGACCAACCATCAGGAAGATTATTGGCAGTGGTGCAGGCTGGGAGAGGCTATAAATATTCAGAAGTGACCTTGGAAAGTCAGTCTTCCCCCTGGCCTCCTGCCTGAGGAAGGAATACTGTGAATTGTATGATCCTCCTAGGCCTGCTGCCTGAGTGCTTTGACTAAGGCCTAAGTTTGAGCCCTAGTGTGTGAAGTCTGGGGATAGAGATGCTATGGTGAAACTTCAGCATATAAAAGGAGCTTGAGGAGCAAGGTAGAAGCTTGGTCCTTGATTAAAAGATAGTAATTTCTCCCCAAGGAGTCGGTAGCTACAATATCCACTACCTTAAAGCCGGGAGCTCTTGTCACAGAATACTTAGTCATCTTAAAGGTTCTTTATCTGTTAAGGTTGTAAGAACTTTTTTTCTATTCTGGAGTCTGCAAGGGTGTCAGTAGTAGACATGTGCACTGCCAAAAAATTTGTTTAGTTTAGTTTCGTTTTAAATTCGGATTTGTGTTATTTTGTTTTTCAGGATTCGGGTGTGAAAGTCAATTCGGATTCGGAATTCGGATTCGGACGAAATTCGGTAGCGTTAGTACGAACGTTCGTTTCGTTTTCTGTTCTTATTCGTTTCTTATTCGTTTCGTTCGTTTGCAGCAAAAGTGACATTTGAGGGGGAAAAAATATTTTTCTCCTTCTCTAATGTCACTTTGCTCCAACGAACGAAACGAATACGAAACGAATAAGAAACGAATAAGAACAGAAAACGAAACGAACCTTCGTACGAACGCTACCGAATTTCGGAAATGGAAATTCGGATTCGTTTGCATTCGCTATGTCTGTAATTCGGAATTCGGATACATCCGAATGTCCGAATTTCCGAAAATTCGTCCGAATTTCGATTCGGAACGAAACGAATCGCACATGTCTAGTCAGTAGGTGCTACATAGTTTACCAGTTAATTTTCCCTACACAATATTGATAACTTGCTGGCCTCTTTTTAAAAATGCTAGTTTCCTGGCTTCTGAGTGAAGCACTTTTGACTCACAGACCTGAAATAAGCATACTGACAAGTGTCATAATTTCTTTCTATACCTGTTCCTGGTCAGTGACTTAGAAAGCAATAATGCTAAAGCATCAGCCTGACAATTAGAGAACTAGCATTATCAAAATGAATGTTTGGCAATGACAGCCTCCATAATATCTCATGACACAGTTCCTGTAATGAGTCACAATGTTAAGGAATTTATTTCCCTATATGACTGTCTGACTAGAGATGCACGTAGCATTTTTGTATAAGGTAGGAATTGAAAGGACAGCAGGTGAGCTGCTTGTAAACCAATCACCAGCTGGCCTCCTATACCTTTTATGCACCCAATGAGGAGGCATATACCAGAGATTGTCTTTCTCCAGCAAATTTACAAACTTTGTGGCCAACCTCTACTTGGTCTTTCTGCAGCCTGAAATGGCAGATAGCAGCATAGTAGGATGCAACTAAGCAATTGACAGAAATAGTACATTGGTCTTGTTGTATGGTATGGCAGGTTATGAACACACATCAATATTTGAATATCTGATATGAGTATGACAGCATGCTTTTTAGATCTACAAGCTCTTTAATTAAGTGGGATGATCTGGGGGCAATACAAAATATAGATCTACTATAAAATATGAAGCTAAATGTCCCTTTTCTTTCACTCACCTTCTCTGGATCCATGTTAAATTTCCTGCTGGCACTGAGCAATTCATTCTCCCTCTGTGTTTTACGACTGAAAAATGAGTGCAGATGTTAATAACCTGTACATATACTACAGATGAGTTTAACTTCAACTTAGTAATACCTACTCACCTTATTTCCAGACGTTCAAAATCGTCTATGTCTGCCACTATTTCTGTTATTTCATTTTGTAAATTCTGTAAGCAAGGCCAAGAAGGATTATTGGAAAAACTCAGACAATATATAACAAGGAGTAGGTAAACAAGAGTACATCAAGGAACATAATGCAGTATCATGTTTGGTTTGGTGACTACAAAGTTAAAATTGGTATATTTTTTAATTTTACATTAAATGTATGTAGTGCTACCATTTATTCCTTTATATCTGTTGTTTAATGACAATTTGCAACTGCTTCAAGTGTGAAAAAAGGACTGTGGTGTCAAGAACCATCCACACACAAGTGTTAGGATCCAGAGCGCCTCCAGGTGGTGCTGGAGCTAGCCCTGCAGTTCCAGTGCTCACCTGCGGGTGTCTCCCAGCACTTAGCCATCACCTGGTGCTTCCTGGGAGAGTATTTAAACCCTCCCTGCAGTCAGGACGATGGCTCAGTGTTGTTTCCTGTTTCCCCTGAACCCAGAATCCTGTTTTGAACCTTGTTTACCTGTAAGTCCTGAATCCTGTTTTGAACCTTGTTACCTGTGAGTCCTGAATCCTGCTCTGAACCTTGTTACCTGTGAGTCCTGAACCCTGTTTGAAGTCCTGTTTCATGTGTCTTTTGTTTGCTGTCCTGAGCCTTATTGTTGGTTGTTGCTATTAGATCTCAGATACTGAAAAAGTGTTGTCCTAGTATGTAACCACTGGAGGTATAACTGCTTTTGGGTTTAAAGTTTCAGGAGTCAAGCATGCCTGCCACCAGGGATGCTTTAACCATATGGGCAAAATGAAAATTGGCAAAAAGTTTCCCCTGGCGCACAGGTGAAGGGGTCTCACCAGACTCAAAGCCATTTCAAGCCACAGATAAGCCTCCACTAGACTGAAGAAGCCATGCTCAGTAGGTCATTTGAAATATTATTAGTCCAGTGTTTTTAAGTATGTGTAACTCTCCACTTGCTCACCAGACCTCAGAACTCAGTGACCAAGCTGCTTGTACATGCAAGCATTCCAGCATTACATCACAGATTGAGGAGTGATATTATTTCTTCCTTTTCAAAGGAAGAATTGAAACTATTGTATGGAAGTCTGGCTAGTGTTACAACGTTGTACATAAATATCTGTGTACCAGGTCACCATGATCTGAGGTCTACCAAAGTGGGGAAAGACAGGGCCACTGATGTATAAAATACATCAATGCTTTTCCTGACCTGTCTCCCACTAAATGGCACTGTAGCGAGAGAGAGAGAGAGAGAGAGAGAGAGAGAGAGATACAGCCTACGTGCAACTGTGGGTCCCAGCATGCAAGCTGGGAGTTGTAGTTCCACAAATCATTTAGCTCTCTCCTGCTCTCTACATTTGATATTGGTATGCTTTTATGTGTTCATTTAGAAGGCAGAGATGGCATGGGGCTTACCATGAGTTGTTTGCCCTGGGCCCACTAGAGTCTGAAAACAGTCCTACCAGCCACTGCAACTTTTTTTTTTTTTACCCGCTGTTTGTTCCGCAAACAGTTTGCACAGATTAAAAATAGTACTCCACATATTTTTTGATTTTTGGTTAACTGCTGTTTGAGCAACTCATAGGCCTACTGTAAAAAAAACAACTCCTAATTTCTTTACGGGATTGAATCAGAGAACTGAATATGTTATGAGATGTGAAAATGTTCAGTAATAGGTAAAAGGATCCTGTGGCTGTTACAACTACTTACATGACTCTACATATTTCGCAACATGAAAAGCCAAAGAGCAAGATTCTGGCTGTCTTAGGCAAATGGAGACTTACCTGTGGCTATAAATTGGCTCTAGTGGGCCACCTGCACCAATGGGCAGCTTGCCCCTTTTTCCCATATGGGTGAAGCAGCCCTGGTGACATGTATGCTTGACCTCCTAAAACTCAAAAGTTAAACCTTGTGTGTGTTGTAAAGTAGCCAGTGCTTCAACCTCACTCACATGATAGACTATAACTTCAATACAAATTAGTAAACTAAACATAAGATTGTAGTCCATAGTTTTGAGGAGTGGTTACTTTACAACACACACAGGGACCATGGGAAACAAAAATAGCCACCCTCCAGAAGGTAGGCAGTGTCAGCACCAATACTGAGCTGATAACTTCCTGCGAAATGAGTCTGTGCTGTGTACTTATCAGTTAGCATTTTTTCAGCTATCTTTGTGGACTACAAAACATCTCCCCTCCCCCAGACTATCAAATAAAGGCAGGTGTTCTACAGTCACAACACACTTGCTCTCCTAGGGTAAAAACACTGCTCCTCCATAGTTACAGCACGGTGTGTAAGCATTGTCACCCTAGAATAGAAGGCTTGTTACTGCCAGGAGCTCAAGATAAAAATAAGGGGAAAAAAGCCTGAAACAAAAGAAAACTAATGCAGCCACCTCATTTAAGGAGTGATACGTTGTCATATATTAAGAAGGTTATGCACAAAGCTGCCGAAGGCAGCCGAGAGAATAACCAACCCGAAGTGAAGTGAGCCGAAGACTGTTCGGCTATTCACTTCAGACTTGTACGGCTAATTTCAGCCGTACACCGGCTGAAATCAGCCATGCATAAGCTTGCTTCGGCTGGCCGAACATGCTCCGAGGTGGTACCGAGCAGAATAGTGGTACAGAGCAGAATAGCAAATCAGTGCAAAAAGTAGAAAAAAAATGTTTAAAAAGGTTAAAAGAAATGATAAATCTTAAAAAATAAATAAAGATTTCCCAAAAAAAGACAAAAATAAAGATTTCAAAAACAAAAGCAAAAAAGATCATTGAAAAAAGATAAAATGAAGATCAATGAAAAAACATAAAACAAAAATGAAGATCAATGAAAAAACAAAAATAAAGATCATTGAAAAAAAATTTAAAAAAGAAAAACAATTGGGCAGAGCTAGCAGTGACAGCTAGCTCAGCCCAACTGTTTCCTATTGGTCAGGAACTGCTAGAGTCTTCTAGCAGGTCACGGCCAATAAATAACAACTTGGCGGAGCCAGCCGTGATCTCACGGCTGGCTCCGGCTAGTTGCAATGACAGATCTGGCATTGCAACTGGCCGGAGCCAGCCGTGAGATCAAGACTGGCTCTGCTCAGCTGTCAGTTGCGAGGCTTGGCCCGATTTGTGTTACACCTCGGCTCGGCCCGATTTGTGTTACACCTCGGCTCAGTCGAGCCGAAGCATAAGCCTTCGGCTCGACTGAGCTGCTCGGCCAACTTCGGGAGCTGTACGGGCTATAGTGAATAGCCCGTACAGCAGCCCTTCGGTTCTACTGAACCGAAGGGCTCCGGCGGCCAAAGCTAGCCGAAGGATCAGCCGGAGCTACAGCTGATCCTTCAGGTAGCTTTGTGAATAACCCTCTAAATGTTTTTTCTTGGCTTAGATATACTTTAAATCATAGAGAAAAGAAAATGAAATGTGACTGAAGAATATAAAAGCATAATAAATTATAAAGCTTCTTTGAAAGATGGAGGAAGAGGAAGGGTTTTGGAGTTTAGTATATACTGTACTTTAATGTGTTCAAGCAGCTCTTCTCTAGTAGATGATGTAATGATGGTTTCTTCTGTTGGAGTCATAGCTTGGTCTAGAAGGACAAAAGGAAGATGTAAAGTGCATCAGTCAGGATAGAATACCTATTTTGGCAAGAAGTTGATATAGCAAATACACAGGATCAGTGTGGTTTGTGACCTTCCATGAACTGCAAATTTATAAATATAATTTAATTCAAAGTAATTGAGACTTCTGTTTTATTAAAATGTAAGAAGCAGGTTTTAATTAGTTTTTCATGGTTAGCTTGCGTATTTTATGGTAAATAGGGATGAGGTTTGCGTTTGCCACTATCATGGGTTCATGGTTAATCCCCTGAATTAGCAAATTTTGGAAACCTTTGCAGGTTCTTCACCAGAAATAAGTAACAGGATTTAATGCTTGGCCCTAGTCAATAACGCGGCGAGAGTCAATAATCTGAAGGCATTAATAACCCAGCCCCTTTCTTTAAAAGGGTGGGCTCAGATCAATATTGTCAGTGTGTGTTAGAGCTCTTATAGAGAGCTGAATATTCTGTATAGGGAAAAATACAGTTTTTTTATTTTATTTTGGCTTTGATACATGTCCCCCATGGAATCCAGAATTCCATGGGAATCAGGAATCTGTGCATGGCCATGTTCCCCATGGCCGTGCCTGGATACCCATGGCTTTTGTTTGACACTAGCTTATCAGCTCTACAAGTGGACAGATATTAATAACAATGCTCACCCCTCGCCCCTTCCCCAAAGACCTGGGGGTTTGGGTTTTAATGCAAAGTTTGTGATCTTCAAGCAAGGTTTGTCTAACTTTTCACAAACTGAACCCGGCAGATTATGCTAATTCCTAAAGTTAACCAGTACATGGTCCTAGGCTTATTCCACCTTAAAAACCCTTATCAATATTACTCCTTTTCCAGAAATAAAACAGTTATATATAATATAGCAGTGTACATATTTTAAGTTATGATTGCTAGACATGTGCACTGCCAAAAAATTTGTTTAATTTCGTTTCGTTTTAAATTCGGATTTGTGTTATTTCGTTTTTCGGGATTCGGGTGTGAAAGTCAATTCGGATTCGGAATTCGGATTCAGACGAAATTCGTTAGCGGTAGTTCGTTCGAACGTTCGTTTCGTTTTCGTTTCTTATTCGTTTTGTTCATTCGTTCGTTCGTTTGCAGCAAAGTGACATTTGAGGAGGAAACACGTTTTTCTCCAACGAACGAAACGAATAAGAAACAGAAACGAACGTTCGAACGAACTACCGCTACCGAATTTCGGAAACGGAAATTCGGATTTGTTTGCATTCGTTATATCTGTAATTCAGAATTCGGATACATCCGAATGTCCGAATTTCCGAAAATTTGTCCGAATTTCGATTCGGAACGAAACGAATCGCACATGTCTAATGATTGCATTACTTTAACCCCTTCATGACTGAGCTAGTTTTCAGGTTCTGTTCATAAATGACTGACACACTTTTTACATTTTTGCTGTCTGATTCTTCCACAGCAGTAATATACTTTCTTACTAAATGTACCCACACATATTATATATAGTTTTTTGGAGGAAAAGATAGGGCTATATAATTATATCACATATTGGTACCTTACCCCTCATTTAGTTTGAATAAAATAAAAAAATGAGGAAAAAAACTAGAAGAAAACACTTTTTCACAAGTTTTGATTATTATTATTTTTTTATATTAATTATAGTATAAAAAATATATTTATATATACATTTTATTTTCCTAATTTTGTTTTACACTTTATTGAATTTTTTTTTTACACTTTGTAAAAAAAAAAATTACAAAAAAATACTTTTTTTTTCTTGTCAGTTAATATCAAGCAGTCACTATGACTGCTTTATAAATTAACTTTTTTAAACATTTTTGGCTATTAGACTGATCCAAACTTAGGAACAGCTAATAATAACCTTAGAGACTGATCCTGACTTTAGTCAGATTCAGATCTCACTAA